AATTGTTTCTGCTATTTTTTTATAGTGTATGTAAACATCTGGTTTCAACTGTAGGTGCTTTTGTGATACTTCAGTTACTTAGTTACAAACAAGGCCACTTGCTTTAGGTAAACAAAGCAAGTAACCAACAGAAGAAAAATCAAAGGCTCGCTTTGGAGTTTGTTAAAAATGTTTTGACTTAAGGCAAATGAACAAATTTGGTCTTCATCAGTGTCAATGTCTGCTGTGGTAAGCACTCCTGTTCAATTCAATTCAAAAACATTTTATTAATCCCAGAGGGCAATTAAACGTTGTTGTAACTCATCATCCTGGTTTCATTAAAGAGGTGTTCTAGATGCTGATGGCTGTGGGCAGGAAGGATCTCTTGTAGTGTCTGTCTTACAGCGGATCTGAAGAAGCCTCTGACTGAAGACACTGTTGTATGACAGTCTGATGAAGAGGGTGGTCTATAATGTTCTTCGTTTTATGAAGAATCCTTCTTTGCACAGTCATCTCCAAAGGTTCTAGAGGAGTTCCAAGAACTGAGCCAGCCTTCTTTATGGAGCTTGTTGATCTTAAGTCACTTGCTCTGGTGCTGCTGCCCCCGCAGATGATGGCAGAAGAGAGAGCGCTCTCTACAAAAGACTTTTAAAATGTTATACTTCTCATTGCTCCTGCTCTGCAACCACAGCACCTCCTTTTCAACTTATTTGGGATGTGAGGCTGTAGTTGTGATATTATTTGAGCTTTTGAGATGTTAATCAGCTGCTCCCGGTTGCAAAATAAAAAACAGGCTGTTGTTAATGGTCACGCATCATAACAAATGTACAAAATTTAAAAGGTTTCAGTAAAAATCCTTCCAGCTGCACAGCATCCGATACCAGAGGAAACAATCATCCAAAAAAAAGTGATTTTCATCCAGAAAAAGATGAACTAAAAGTTTTCAAAAGCAATATCCCAGAATGAATGTAATGGAAGCTTAGGCCTGTCACAATAAACAATAAATCAATTAATCGCATGATGAATGAAAATTATCGACCTCATTTTCATTTATCAGCTTTATCGTTTCTTTGCGTCTCTTTCTACTGAAGACACTGGATGACAAAAGGCTCAACTCCGGTGCTCTTCATTGACCCCTCGCTTTCTATTTTCTCTTTAAAATCCATTTTAACCGTCCAAAATCACGTTTTTGGATCATTAAAAACAGCTAAGATGAGAAGCTAAGCTACGAGCTAAGCTAACAGGCCGACCTCAGGAAAA